GCAAATATGCATAAACATATGCTGTTGCTCCTTTTGAAATGAATGTGTTTTCAGGTATAGAGATGATATATGTCACATTCTCAAATTAGTCCTAGTTAATATGAAAAGCTTAATTTTGCATAAATGCAGTGAGCTAAATTCATTTCCCATCATACAACATTAACCTACTAATGATCCTTGATATTTTCTGAGCTCCCGCACACGCAAATCAAATCTACGATATTGCGGTAGGAAATACACGGGCAGCTGGTTGGTTTTTCTGGAATAAATAAAACTATTGTCAGCAGCTCGGAGGCTCTCCTGAGTGGCTGATTCAGAGCTATGAAAATAGGTTCATACTTTATGAGGCTTCTGGGTTAACTGCTTTCGGTGAAAACGGAATTTTCTGTTTGACCTACAGGGTCAGCAGCCCTCATCTCTGTAAATCACTCACCCCAGTGCCCGAGACCCCATGCACATGCACATTTACTCTCACGGCAAAACCAGCATTAATCTTTGAACAAAAACTGTTCACGAAGTGAATTAGGTTACCTCTAAAAATATATATATAAGAAAAAGCTTGGTTGTATTAAAAGAGCTGTCTGGCTCTTAAAGGCCCCATTGAAATCGTTCTCTGTTTTTAAAATAAAAAACACAGGCAGGGCTATTTACACAGCCTGCTCTCGTCTGCCCCCCTGCACTGCAGATTCATTACACTGATTGAGTGCAATGCACGCAGGCACAACAATTCCGGGCCGCGGCACAAACATACATCATGCAATAAACAAATAGCACCTTCGCTAAGTGCGGAGAGCTCAACCTTTACCCACGAGGGTTGTGTTGCGTTTAAAACCGATATAGACTTCCGTGAGACATTCGATCAAACAGGAGATCGGTGCGGTGGAAAAAAGGTCGATCGTCCCGTTCCGGACCACACAATCTGTTCGGAACACCAAACCGAGGGCAACGTAGGAGGCAGCGTGGCAAGTGGGTTGCTCATCTATCTGTACGGACTGTGATTTAGGCTCTCAATCGCGAGTCATTTTTGGTTTCATTCGGTTTGCTTCCAGGTGCAAGAAACTCACAGAGCTGCCTAATTATTCTACGAAGGACCCGCCTTGTAACAAAATAAATCGACACACTCAGCGAAAATGTTGCGGATAATAAAGTATGATTACATTATACATTTTATTGGACTTAAATCACACTAAAAATAGACACCTAGACAAATCTAATAGAATCGTAAGGGCTCTGTAATAGATTAACAGACGTAATGGAGTGCATCAGCCTCAATTAATCGGGTGTCATTTTTATCACGCACAAAGTCGCAAGCTTTCCACATGCGTAGCCACGGCATATAATGAACAAAGTCAAGAATACAAATACCCGAAAAAGTACTAACCAAAAAACATGTACCTTCTCGACACCATTTCACGCAAAGTATAAACTATTCAACTATTTTTTTTATTTTACAAGGTAAATGCCACTGAGCTATGTAGCTCCTTGTGAGAAGTGACCTGGCCACAAATCATAGCCCAACAAAGTGGAGAGAGACATGCATACTCCGAATATACAGCAGGCATCAGGGCCGCGATCAAACCAATGACCTCCTGCATACCAGGCGAGGAACATAAACGTCTCGCCACCGTGGCGCCCCAAACAACACGCGCACACACAAACACGAGGATCCAGGTGAGCTATTGATTGCCTAGAAGGAAAGCTGTAATAACCGCGCAGCAGATACCTCCTCGACTCCGGTTGTGACTCTCAAACTGACGCTGCTCAGGTGTTCTCACAGGACGCACACTCGATCGCATCGATGCACGTGCAGCGCCGGGGCAGGCACGATAAGGCGACCGGGTATCTCGCGCGGTTATTAATGTGACGGTGAGGACACCACTCTTCTACGGCTGTCACGCCTTTGGCGAGCTTCTCGCGACAACAGCATCACTTATCAAGGTGTGGACGTCTCGACAGAGAATGAGACATGGGCATCTGCGGAAAGTAACATTCTTAACAATGCGCTGGTGGATAAAAGCATTGCGACTTGATTTATGTGCCGCCTGCTTCAAAACATAATCCACACCGAGCTTTCCATGCCACCAGTCGGGTAACGTGTGTGTGTGTGCGCGTGCAAGTGTGCCACTGGGTTGAACCGCATGTATGTATATCTATACATTGCTCCACACATAAAGTAGGACTTGAGCTGCAAATGCAATAAGCTAAGTCGAACTTAATTTTACCGCAACAGCCAACAAATGTGAAACATATTGCACTCTCAAGATGTATTAATTTTCGTATAAACCGCACGGCCTTGAGATGTGTCTTTACCATCATTGCAGCAACGTCTATTACAAGCGCATGGAGAAGAAATGAGCAGATAACACACACACACACACGTGAACTGCACTTGCATTCTATACGAATGTATGGATATAATCATCACCTATTCTAGCAAATCTAATGGCTGATAGTCTCAGTCAAATCCATCACGAGCCATGATAATACCTGCAGCGTTAATTAGCACCTCCGCAGTCAAGACAGCGTGCGCACAAAAGTCACAGCCCCCGTGTGCCCGTGAATGATGCTTTGTGGCGTAGCAAGTCTCGTCTTACATCGTCATCGCACTACCTCGCTGGATGACCTGCCAGTGTTGGGACCAGAGCTTGTCACACGAATCGGCCACGTGGGCAGCCAGGAAATAAATGGAGCGAGTAACACAATTTTCCGTCCTCCTGAGCGCAGCCAGATTTCCATTTCTAGAGGAGGATTCCTGCAGGACCACTTTCCATTCGGTGCACAAGATGTAACATTACTTGAGGCACTCAGCGATTGCACGTCTCAATCGGTGTAATAACCTGCACATCACATCTCAAAAAGTATATATATACGTGATTTCTACAGCACTGAGTGACACTTAAAACTAAGATCAGCCATGTATGAAAAAATAAGAATAGGTTTAACCCTTTCTGGCAGTACAACAGGTGTTAAGATGTTCAAATACCAAATGGAAACATTTTGCAAGAGAAACCTTTTGCCAGAAAGGGCAAAGCATATTATTTTCTTTTTCATACTTTGATACTGACAAAAAGGTCCCATTTTTTAAGATCATCCAAGCTGCAATATTAGAAAAACACACACAGTGTTTCAACTCTAAGCCTTTCATTTCTAGGGAAGGCAACGCAATGTCGCACAAACCATTTACACAAGAGCGGCACTCAATGGTGAGCTTCTAAGAGGCCGTGCACGCAGCGTAGCAAAAGAACAGCATATTCGCGCTCACACGGATTGCAGCGCTCCAACGGGCCACGCGTTGGGATCTGTCGAGTGCTGTCCCTGCAATGCATGGGAATCTGTGCAAATCTAAGCAATTCAAGTGGTTAAAAAAAACCTAAAATGAAATGACCACTTCTCAGCCGAAACATTTTTTTCAAACATTGGAGAGCAGCAGCGGTATATATAACGCAGGGACAAAAAAAACGCACGTGCATATGCACACACAAATAAAAAGATGCACCGTTCAACTGTATGAGCTTTTGGGGCAAATCCCATTAGCATGGCGCTGTGCAGTCGGTAAGATCACTGCAAGGGGGTATAGGCGGCCGTCACTATGCCTGGCCACATTTGTCCCTCAAGTGGTGATGTTCACTCATTTAAGGCTGAGTCAACCTTGGGGGATCCCCAGAACCAGTTCATATAACCAACTACTTTTGTTATCCGTGGCTGGAAATCAAACTCAGGTCACGAGGATTCCAGCACAAGTGCGCCAACCACTGTGCCACCATTCCCCACAATCACAGTCGCGTAGTAGATGCACATAGCGCAGGTTATTTAATTTAGTGTGTCTCTCTCCCGTTCTCATAATTTTCAAGCTTGCGCACCTTACCACGCGTCGTCCTACTCATTGACATGCTAATTTTCTCTAACCCCTCCCTCTCTCCGCCCCCTCTCTCTATTTAAGGCCTCGTCACAGATACGTTCTCTGTGTGCCTATGTGTGTTCTCTCTCTATGTATCTCTGTGATATCTGTCTGCTTATATGTCTGTCTATAGTTTTCTGGTTAGATTTTTTTTTTGCTATTTCATTTATACCTGATGATGATTGCTTGTGTTGCAATCGAAACGTCGTATGCTATTATTTAATTTATTAGTTTATCTTTATACGTGACTTTACCGAAAAAAACAAAGAGTAATAGCGCAGCTTCTTCGACGCAGAATTCTCGCATTTTTGGAATTTTCAGAATGACTGCAAGGTCCCACGTGAAAATTCCAAACCCAGGGGATGTTCATTTGTAACATTTGGCAGATGTCCCAAGATGAGACATACCTTTGCATGCCTCCTTTTGTACTTTGTGTGCTGCCCAACACAGTGCCATTGTGGTGATTTGCTGCAAGAGAATTAATTCACGCGTCTCCTTGCTCTGGGCTTATTTGCAACCTCATAAAACACTTCGAGCTATTATGTCATGGTTAGGTCCTGCTGGGATTCACTTTTAATCAACAGCAATTATAAAAAATAAACACCTTGGTTGATGTTAGAGCAGCGGCAATAAGTGTTTTTTTTTATGTACGGATAAATACCGTATACTTACACAAACCAGGAGCGGGAGATTATAATGAATGAACGCGGTACAAAAACGAGAACAACATTCAAGCCTTGCTCCAATTTAGTAGAATAAAATGGTCTGTGTATTTTGTGGCTGTTTGACGTCGTTACTGCAAAATTAATATCCACGAGTGCCTGTGACCACACACTTTAGCCGTGTCGGATTGCAAAGGATCGCTATTGCATTAATAAGTAATTATAGCAATGCTTATAGCACACAGGGCTTATTGCTACCATCACCACCGGTGCTACAGCTGTCACGACCAACTTTAACGACCTTATTAATTATAACGGCGGAGGACTGCGGGACCAATGATAGATCATCGTAGTGAACACAATGGGGACAGCCACTCGCAGTATGTGGGTGCATACGTATTGACAGCACCCATTTATTAATTGCGGTGAAAGGCACTCACTGTATGGGCAGCCGTAGACAGCCACGCGTAGCCCGATGCGCGCCGGGGTGCCCGGATCGAGCGGCGCAAATCGAAGGAACCGGGTGACCAGGGGTCGCGGCAGCTCGTGCCTGACCCGGCCGTCCGAGTTCTCATTGCCCCCGAATGCCTGCAGACACAGAGCGTGGCGCAGCAAGGTAAACACAGCACGGTGCCATAGCACGACGCAGAATGGTACGGCAAGATACAGGCGTGGCACAGCATGGCTGTCACTCCACGCACAGGGTGGATATGACGCGAAATGGACTGGCGCGCCCGGGCAAAATTGTTTTTTTAAATGCTGGTGGTGTGTTTTTCTTGTTAGAGATAATCACTTGTGAGTACACGACTTGAGTGGAGTTCATCATTATTATTACGACTGTTATCGTTGATCATACACGCGTTGCTGAAATTACTGTTTCACACTGGATGTAGAAATATCCCACGGGAATCTATTTTTATTTTCGTGACCTCCCGCATGACATTTCCCATTGTAGAGATGATGGCAAAATCAATTATTTTTGCTCAAACTGAAATTGTAGCCTCTGAACATTAAAAAACACATACGGGGTGATCCATGTCGAGATACCTCACTGAAATCTAATGACACTCATAGTCTCGTATCAACTATCGAACGCTTATGGTGAATTTGATATCTTACAGAAAAGAGTGTTACGCTTTTTAACATACGAATTGAGATTGTTGGGAGACATGCATAGGCTTTGAAATAAATGTCTGTTTTTTTCCCAATCATTTATCACTATTATTTTAGTTGGATAGCTATTTCTGGATTGCCCTGTATAATTACAGAATTTCCCTTTCATTTACGTATTTGCAAATGTACTATATTAATTCTTTAACTGTTTACAGGACAGCGTGCATCTGTAGATCTGTGACCCAAGTTGTGCAATACAGTGGGGGAATCGGATCCAATCAGGGTGGGTTACCGATCGGGCCATCGCACACACTCTCGTGTAAGAGTTGTGGGGAGTCTCACGCCATCAGACTTACTCCCCATCGCTGTAAACCGGCGCCTGCAGCGCATCGTGGGTATGGACATGGAGGTCACGATGCCCTGTGGCTCCCCATCCACCCTCACCGGACAGCCACATGACTGCTTCTCGTATTTTGAAACATTTACATAAACAGAGCAGTCATCAAACACTCTCCGTCTTGCCAAAAAGTCACATGGGCACAATGAGGTAGGCAGCAATTGACTTTGCTACAAGACAATTCTCAGTGGCAAGGCCCATGCCTTCGCTTCAATCGCACACTCTACCCTCTCAATCTGCCAATCTCGAGCCCGTATTCTCAACCACTCCGTCAATCCAGCAGCGCTCCCACAAACTTCACCACTCACTAGAAAGATACCTCCCTTGAAAGGTAAATTTGAAAGAGCGAATCGCCGTACAATTGACAAGAAGAGTTTTGTAGGAATCTACTGAGAAGTGTATTTATGTTAAAGCTGCATGCAGGCATCCGTGATCTTCAGATGCCTGTCAGAACATTACATGGAGGGGGGGGGAGGAGGTACTTTAAACGATTGCACTTCGTGCATCTGAAGTGCATTTACCACGAAAGAACTGGTTGTGTCACTGGATTATCACAGCCGCAACATTAAATAATTTGATCTCAGTGCTACGGAAATTGACACTGGAAGGGTTAAATATTCCTCCGGATTTATTGCACTTAGGGAAATGCCCAGAGGCAGCAGAGAGAGCAATCAGATGAAGCCAGAATGACAAAACGGACGCGACCACACGATATATTCTACCTTCTTACATGTGTGATCCCGAGGCATCGTAATAAGCTACTTTTTTATTGTAAAGGGGGCTCGGGGTGGGGGTGGGGGGTACATAACTCACTTATCCGGTGCATGTGTATTAATTTCGGTGATGAATAGCTTGTTTAGGGCGCCATGTACAAGCTTATCTACCTCCTACAAATGATCCCATAGTGTAGCCATATGCTGTCAGTGAAAGGGATAAACAGAGGCGAAGGTCCTGAGCATCTACATATAACGCGAGCAGCTGCGTACTGTGACTCGTTAACCCGTGGATGAAACTGGGCAGCATTTCCTGGGCTAGGGCGTCGGGAATTGACATGCTTATGGAATCGAGTCGTTTGTCAAACATCTGTGCGCACACCCCTGGGAGGCTAGAGGTTTGCTCATCAGCTACCCCCCAGGGCTTTACGCAAGCAATCATCCCACACATTCGTGAGTTAGATGGATTTGTGATGCATTCTTGAATCAGAATATGTATATGAACTGGAGGAATCCGATTCGCTATAAAGCTCTTTTTCAGAGAAGTCCAGTAGGGGCAGGTCAGAAGGTTGCAACAACAAACAATACAAAACCACGACACGGGTGCAAAGTATAGGAAATGTAAATAAATGACATTAAAATAAGATAAAACTAAACTATTAATTATCTTACCAGGTGAAGCACACTGAGATATGAACTTATTTTTCAGAAGCGACCTGGCCATAAATGAGAGTTCAAAAAAGTGGCTTATCATGTGAAAATGTATAGCAGAAAAATAATCTAAATGATCTAAATGCATGTTTCTAAATGGCAGTGCAGCAAAACTCCTCTGCAGAAATAAAAACAAGGAAATACATTGAATCTTCTTGGTTCTTTCGGTAAAGTCACGTAGAATGGAAATATTAAAATAATAAAAATAAAACATTCTTATTTTATTATTATTTTATTATTTCCATTCTACGTGACTTTACCGAAAGAACCAAGAAGATGTATCCCTGCAGTCACGAAAGCTTTAAATCGAAAAATACATTGAATGTTAATTGTTTACATTTTCACTCTGCCTCGGAACAGCCCACTTGGGTGTTCAATTTTAAAATGAAAGGTCATTCATTTTAATCCCAATTAACACGGGGAAGAGGAGATATGTTTCATGTAAACCTGGCTTGCATCTGCTATTAAATTGGATGTCATCCTCTCACAAGGTTAATAATAAACGAGCTAAACGAATAAACTTTTTTTTATAATCCAAAAATAATCTTTTTTTATTCAGTGTTTCGAAATCATACTTTAGCCCAGTGATCACTGAACGTTGTGTTGTTGTAAACGAGGAATATCGACGGCGTACACACACTTACGCAGGAGAAAGATATTGTTTTGGAAAGTGATAGTTATTTAGAACAGAGAGATGAAGTAAAAGGTAACGAATCACTCGAAAAGAAACACGTTTTAATGTGACGACTCACCGAGACTACCAAATCATGTAGATACAATCTGAACAAAATTATTATTCATAACACAAATTCAGTGTATCCCAGTTCTAAGCCTTTAATGGGCACGCTTGAAATGTTCCCGTTAGAAACACACCATTTACAAAGAAATCTGTTACCAGCCCTGCACAGGCGATGCACACAGTTATAACCACGGGCGTTAATCGTAAGCTACAAGGAGAGCGAACAACAATATAGAGATTACAAAATGGAGATGGATGGAGGGTTGCAGAGCGACAATAAATAAGGACAATTTCTGCGAGGTGCATGAGAAGCCATCAGAAATCGCATTGCCCCCCACCCCCCCCCCCCCCAAGGCAACTCCATTAACGCAAGGAGGGGCTCTGGCTATAGACGCCGCTTGATTCGGTGGTGGAGGAATGGAAGAGTGGGAAGGGAGGCAGACGCGGGGCTATAAATAGCGGGGCAAGATGCGCTTCCCCCGCAATGCCGCTGTAGAAACGAGCGAAATCTACGCTGTACACACTCTCGCCTACCCACTGGCATTTGTGATGGCACAATGCGGGGATTCTACAAATCACGACGCACCGATTCAATCAATTTGGAGATCGAGAGCATGCGAGAGAGTACGCGCCAGGGTACCGTGTGGATTTACAGATGGCAGCGTACAAGGGCGGAAAGGCAAACCAGGGACACGATTTATAGATGGAGTAAGTGAAGCCATAAAGAACGGGTGGCCTATTACACACGGAGCGTGACAGCCAACTCAATATGGGCCGTCTCGACTGAGAATCTCTACAAATGAACAAACAATTGTTGAGCCTCATGATTGTATGCACGTACTGCTATTGTGTTTGAACACATTGGCGCAATACCGGGGCGCGTGCTTGCTTACCTAAGGTACAGAGAGTGCGGCACGACTTAACCATACGGTGCCCTTTAAAAATGAACTCAACGTCAGCGAGCAAGTTACCGATTGCGAAAAAAAATTGAAAATCTCGTAACGAGTGGCGAAGGGGATGTGGAGTTTCAGATGCCAAGAGATGAGAGAGGTTGTGCGTGAGTGTCCTGGCACGGTGACGTCCGTCCGTGAGGAGGCATCCGAGGCCAAGTGTCAATGTCTTACGATGCGTGCAGGTGCAGCCGGAATGATGGGTGCGTCGTTGCGGTTGTGCCGTTTCAAATGGAGCTCCCCGAATGCGCGAGCGAATTTGACATCGCCACTTAATTGACCACCATGTCCAATGGGGGGCACATCATTTGTCGACCATTACCGGGGGGTATGCAACCCATCCTGCTCACTAGGCTCACCGATGCGCGGAGGTGAGTTAAGGCTGACACGAGCTTGCACCCGATAAGGAACTAAATTGAGAGAATGAAAGCAGCGTTCGTGTCATTGTGGAGAATATAAGTAACGCGATAAATAATCATAGAATATGCTGCCGGTCCCATGTCTGTCTCTCCAGGACAAAAAAAATAACAGTATATTTTTATACAGCACGACGTCCACACGGCTTGCTGGTAGTGCATGTTTTCAGCAGAATTTGTTGAATTCAAGCAGACTATATTGGCAAAGGTGGTACCATGATGTAGATATTCACCCCAAGCTTTCATTACTCTGATAGTGCGTTGTCTTTGTGCTGTACGCCTTTTGGCGTCCTCTGGTCTAACACCATTTGAGACGAGGCTCAAAAGAAAGCTGTCTCTGGTGTGAACAAATCAGTTTCAAAGACAACGCATATATTATCCTAGTATGTTTTTGTTTGCATTTTAACCACAAGTGTTGTGGTTAATGCAGACATGATTCCTTGTAAAAAGGTTTCAGTTTGGTGTTTTAACAACTTAACACCTCATAATCAACGATTTTTGGGTTTAGATCGCGTTTATTTATAAATGTGTCGTAACCCTCCACCACCC